ATTTGTTTCTAGACATACTCCATTTAACGACGCCCGCTTTTAGCGAAGATCCTGCTGCCGATTTGGCTGACTTTACGGCGCAGCTGTTTGAGACAAATGCTCCCCAGATCCTCTACAGCGCCTACTTTACCATCGCGGCGCCCACGAATCTAAATGCAAGCGCTGCCACGCCCGTTTATTGCACTGCCGCGCCCACCTACGAGCTGGACTATGATGCAGCCATAGCCGATGCACGGCATATATTCAGTCAGCTCTATGAGAACGATGAGTTTCTGCCGCGTGCGCCCGATCCCGAGGAGATTGTTGTCGATGGCGAGGATCCCAGTGCACTGAACGAACACAGTTTGCCCGAAGATTTGCGGGCACAGCTGCATGATTTACAGCAGGCGGCACAGCAAATGGACATAGCCGAATAGCCAGGCAGAAAGGTTCTTAAACTTTGTCATCACTTTATTGATTTAAACAAAAAACTGGAACAGGAAAGTTCTATATACATGCTAAATTTATCAGTTATATGTACCATGTATTTTTTTTGTGGACAATTGAATTTCAAAGAACTAAATTTTTGCTTAGCACAGTTGATAATCAAATAATTCTTTGCATATAATTCTTTATATATATATTTATTGTGTAAATTATTTATATAAACGCTAGAGTTACTATATATATATATATACGTTTATATATGTATGTGAGTGTGTGTGTGTATGTGTCAATATATATCTCTTCGAAAAATATGCATTCCAATGCGTTATAAAAACTGTATTTTCTTTTTATGTTTATTGCTTGAAAGTTGCTTATTCTTTGTGATGCACTAAAATTGTGTTGATTTAAATTAAAAGAAAATTTTAAAACAAAATTTGTTAAAAGGGTGTTTAAATTATATTAATAAGTTTAGTTAACAAAGGTAGAACGCACCAATTAAGTCTTATGTTTACAGGAGCAGGCTTTTGAGAGGGGAGTGTTTTTTTTTTTTTTTTGGGGCAGTTGAGATAGCAGAACTGAAGAAACATTTAAATTATATGCCACTAATTGAATAGGAAACGATATACGTGCATTTTAGAATATGTTTTCGTGATTCCTTCCTTTATATAATCAGTAGTTCCTATATATAAATATATATTTATCTGCTTTGCCGCATTTTCAGTGCATTTTACAATAAAGCTTTTACGTTCTCGTTTCACTTACAATATCAGCTGCTGCTCGGTTGAGTTTGCGTTATCTTTTTTGTTTAACTTTATTTTCTTATATTTTAATCAGATTATTGTTGATATTCTGTTGGCGTTTGCGCTTCGCATTCATTGCATCCACAATGGGCTGCCGTTTGGCATTGTATTTCTTATTGAGCTGCTCAATCTCCAGCTCCATTTCGTGATCAATATTGCTGAGCCTCTGATTCAGATCGTCAAAGGTAAGAAACTTCAAGAACTCAAATTCACCCTCCACATAAGCATGGGATTGTGTGTGCAAATGCTGATGCTGATATGCGGGTGGCGGCTGTGCTGCAGCTGCCGCTGCTGCAGCTCCTCCCTGCTGCTGCTGCTGCTGCTGCGCTGCATTGCTGCGCAGTAAATTCTGCTGATTGTTGAGCGCAATCAGCTGCTCGTTCATCAGCGGATAGGCCATGAGCAACTGTTGCTGCTGCTGTTGCTGTTGCTGCTGATGCTGCTGCAGTCCATACTGATTGATGGCGGAGATTTGCTGAAATTGCATTTCCATGTTGTGCTCCCAATTGTTGGCATCATGCGCACCGCTGGCCAAATGCTGTTGCTCCTGTTGTTGCTGCTGCTGATGCTGCTGTTGTTGCTGCTGCTGCTGCAGCTGCTGTTCTGCAGCAGCCGGCGAGTATTCCGTGGGAGTGCTTGTTGCCTTCTCATCGCCGCGTCCATCGCCCGCATTCTTGCGCTCAAAGTGATCGAGGAACTGTGGTCGATAGCGATAGCGCGGCTTCTGATCGTCATTCCGCTTGGCCGTGGTCGAGTCATCCGAATCCGAGTTGATGACCATTGTGCCTGCGGACAAGAGAAACCCGTTCAATAGGCTATATGATGTTTTGATGTGCCTTGGCATAGGATTTGTACAATCAGTATATGGATGCATCTGAAATGCCTACTAAGCACACAGCTTGAGATAAGCTGATGAATAGTATACGCAGGCATATCAGTTTGTCTGCTTTTTATAGCTTGAACCATTGTGCAAAGTACACGGCTAGAAACCACTTTGGAATCGAACTGCCCCGAACTCGGAATTCCAATTTGAAGGAGACATAGCATACGTAGCTTGGGTCCCATCTATATAATTTATTTAAAAACCTATGTCAACTAAAGTTTGGAAAAAAGCCTGGGCTAATAAATGTGGGAACCGTAACCTATCGACCTTTCTTTGTTGTCTTAATCCTTGGTATACAAGTATACACATACATATATTCTTGATTTCTTTGTGAACATCTCTACCCTATCCCCTTAAAATCGATAAATATATTTTACGATCCGAAGGCACCAAATTCACATTTAAGGCTTTCTAGGACACGCAGGGTAGGTATATTTTAAATGATCGATAGTTCATCTAAGAACTAATTAATATCGATTTCCCAAAATCGATAATTATCGATGGAGCAAGGTGCCTAACAGGCGAGGCACTCGCGACTTGCGTATTAAATCATCTTTTCCCACATCGTCTACTTACCCAAATTGGACTCAAGCTCGACCATAGTGCCGCTATCCACAGTGGCCACATCTGCACCCGACGAACCACCAGCAGCGCCGGCTGTTGTTGCTGCCGCCTTGGCAGCTGCTTTGGCCATGCCACCGCGTATGCCGCCGGGTCCCAGCGTGCCCTCGTCCATATCTTCCGGATGTGCTATCATGGTCGCATCAGAGGCAGAGTTCTGTTGGTATTCATTGAATTTCTCAGGCACCAGGGTGCCGGGATCGTCTATGAAAGTTTTCACAGTGCCCGAATTGAATTCGGTCTCCTCCTCCTGAAGCATCAGACCCGACTCCTGTGTGGCCAGACTCTTGGCCTGGCTCATGGCAACGCCGGCCGCACGATTGGCACGCTGCTGTTCTCTTATGGCGCACGTCTCCTCCAGCATGTTCTTCAGTATGCTGCGATGCTTGGCATTGCGTATGAACTCGTGCTCCAGCAGCTCCGTGGCCGTGGCACGCTCATCCGGATCCTTGACCAGGCACTTGCTGACGAAATCAATAAACTCGGTGCTCCAACGATCGGGTTCGCGAAATGACGGTGGCGGCTTTTGGGGTATCATGAATATGGCACGCATGGGATGTATATCACCATATGGTGGCTTGCCCTCGGCCATTTCCAGCGCTGTGATGCCCAGCGACCAGATGTCTGCGACACAATCGTAGCCAATCTCCTCAATGACCTCCGGCGCCATCCAGAAGGGTGTGCCAATCACGGTGTTCCTTTTGGCCATCGTATCCGTCAGCTGACCGGCCACACCAAAGTCCGCCAGCTTAGCATAGCCCTCGGTGTTGAGCAATATATTGGCCGCCTTGATGTCGCGATGGATCTTGCGGCGCAGATGCAAATAGACGAGGCCCTTGAGCGTATCCGACAATATGGTGGCGATTTCATCCTCGGTTAACGTCTTCTTGCGCAAACGCATAATATCCGAAACGCTGCCGGCACCGCAGTATTCCATGCAGATCCACAGATCATATTGCTTAAAATAGGAGCCATAATAGCGCACCACATACGGGGAATCACATTGTTGCATAATCGAAATCTCCTTGATAATCTCGTGCAGATCGGACTCAACCGGCACCAGTTTGATGGCCACTATGGAGCTGCTCTCCTTGTGCAGCGCCTTGTAAACGGAACCGTAGCTACCCTCGCCCAGTTTGTACATGATGTCAAAGACCTTCTCCGGCGGCTGCAGCAGCGATTCCTCGGATAATTTCTTTAACTCCCCATTGCCATTTGTATTGGAAGACATGTTGCTGGCTGTTCTGTTGTCGTTCTTCTTCTTGTTTGGGTCGTTGTGCTTTCATATGCGTACCAGTTGATCATTCACAAATGCTACGTATTTTCGGTATATTGGCTTTTAATTAACACAATACCTGCCCGACAATAATTGCCAATTTAAAGGGACATTTTTTCACGCACATTTGTTCTTTATTCGGTCGCCAGTAGAGCTGGTGCAGTAAAATTGCTAGTCACAGGTATTTTAAAGTGACCAGTCACAGATGACCTCAAAATACGCATCCAGTATTAAATAATATTTTCAAAATACTTTTATTCCTTTGTTAGATATTAATAGTTTAAGTAACCTTGCTTAAATATGTTAATTCCAGCTTTAATTAATACTCACTGCTGTTTGTTATATATTAGTTACCATATGACCGTAATACATGTTAGATAAATAATTATTTTTATCGCTTTGTCAATGCATGTGTGGTTATCGATTTTTTTTGCTTTGGTCACACATTGGCGCGTGTAGGAAATGATGACAAGTGCACGGTTGTCATTTGAAACAAATATTTTGTGCCAGAAATCACATGCTAAATGTTTAACTTTCCTTGTAAAAAACGAGATGCAGTGTACTATTGAATATAGTTGAGTAACAGCTTAGGTACACTCGAACCACTTGTGGGGGCTGCAAAAAAGTGTATTATTTGTTTGCTCTGCTCGGTGTTGCCAGACTGTCCCAATGCCATATGTAAACAAAGTCGATGCATCGCTATTTGGCGCAATGCAACATTTGAATTTCGTGAAATGCGGCTGTTGACTGGCAATGGTAACGGCAACAGCATGCATAAATACCTTTAAATGCAATTCGTAAACAATGTGCCTTATCAGTCACTGCGCTCTTGGCTGCCCTAGCAACGCGTGCCATAGTAACGGCAGCGATACCAACACACGAAGTGTGCCCGCCGAATTTTGGGGCTAGAAAATTCCTGCATCTTGGTCGCCAGTCTGTTGTTTACGCCAGGTGACTCCAGTTCGACGGCTGTTGGCAGCGGCACCCACGCAATATGTCTCAAGCACGGATAACCACCGCCTTTGGAGCACGGCCATCGCACGATTTGCATACAAACTCCATATCGCTGAAACAACGTTCCAAATCCGCAAATCCACCGCAATTACGGCCATTTAGCGGTATACAGGGCTCGCGACCCCGTTATGTGCCGCCATTTTCCATACAATCGCAGCAGAAAAACACGGTCGTCATTAACGGGCCCATTCATGAGCCCCCAGTTACGGCAAGCGCGCGCGGCAGAGCGCCGAATCCCAAATGTGCGTATTTCCTGGTGGATCCTTAATTAACATACTTTAACTATAACATAATAATTACTATTTGCCATTGTTTTTTTATTTAAGGTTTGAAGAAACAGCAGAAGTCCATTTCATCAAATAATCTGGGCGCTAGTCTTCACTCCTGCACGGCGGTTAAGAATCCGGGGCGTGGCACTTTGTTTCGCATGTATTTCGATCGCGGAGACTTACCCATTAAAATGGAATATCTATGCGGTGGCGATAAGATTGGCTGGACGGTAAGTAAGGCTTTGCGGTCTACGGTCTGGCAACGCAATGAAATTCGCTTAAACGACTTGGGAATTATAGTAGAAAATTATATAAACTCGTATTGAGTTCTGTCTCTAAAGCTAGACAATCAAATCGATCTAGAATCGGGAATTTTCGAACTATTAACCTAATTGAAGCACTATTAGTAGCTGTATGATTTCTGTTACTAAGTACCGTGCTTTGCTGTACTTTGAACCGTAAATTACCTGACAAGCTTCAATGCCAACTAATTGCCAATAGGTATTGGCCCGAATTTATTCAACCAACAGCACCAGCTGCGTGTCCAATTATTTGAAGTGTGGCACAAAAAAGAACAAGAACTCTCACTGGCATTGTATAAATAATATGCCATTGTCTATTTCCGGAAAAACAGCAGCAAGCAAACGGACTGAATCCGTCGCATTCTCAGGCATTCCGTAAAGCCGTGACGTCCAGGTGTCAGGCAGGCAGTCAGTTAGCAAAAAGGAAAAAACAAATTATGGGAACATTGGGGCGTAACTGGGCCTAGGCTCCATTCAATGTCATGGGGGCAGTGGGAGTGATATTGTTTCTATAAATGGTATGATGCCCAAGTAGGTGCGTTTGTTTATCTAGCCGTGAGACAGTTTTGACAGCTCATTTACATATGAACCATACGTGAGTGACACTATATCATTTTGCGTCATATGCGAACTCAGGCTGAAGGTCAGATTGAAAGTTGTAAAAGGAGCGTGAAGTGCGCTTCACTTGGTTAGAGAGAAAGTGAGATGTTTGTGGAACTTTGTGTACTACGAAAAGTAATTAGAATAAGGAAATATACAACATTTAAAAGGAATGATGAAAGGTCTAGCTCAAGGAGGTAAAGCGGAAAACTTCTTGCTATAGATTATATACGATTTTCTATATGATAAATTTAAAAGTTTTTTATTTCGTCTTCGAAACTAAGCTTAGGCAAAATGGGAAAATGTAAAAATGAAATGTAAAAACTAAAAATAAAAATTCAATTATTTTCAGTAGTACGAGAATTTCCTAGCCATAGCATATGCACAGCATATAGATGACACATTTTTGTGGCATTTTGCTAACTTTTCCAATTGGTTAGCAAAATAAACAAAAAGCATCTTAATAGAAATCAGGAAAAACTTAACAAGCATCGCGTGCAAAATTTACACCTGTAAAACCGGGCGAAACAAGCGTCAAAAACCCGCCCACAATTGTCAATAATGCCATTGCTTCAATAATTCTCGTTGCCAGGTGGACATTGACAAGCTGGACTACAGCCTCTATTTGCCGCTGTTCTTTGACGGCCTGGCAGAGCCAAAGCATCCCTACAAGACCTATGCACGCCAGGGTGTTAGCGACCTGCTGCTCGCCGGCGGCGACAAAATCCATCCCGTGGTACCGCAATTAATTCTGCCCTTAAAGAGTGAGTACCTGCCCGTGATGGGGCCAAATAATAAAAAAGAAACTATGGACTTAGAAAAACCCGCAAATTGGAATTTGTTGTGGCACGCAAATGTGTCTTTAATTTGCACTTGCAACTTTTTTTTTTTATTTCTTGCAGACGCATTGAGCACCAGAAATGTGGAGGTGATGTGCACGACATTGAAAATTATACAACAGCTGGTCATGGCCTCGGATATGGTGGGACCCGCTCTGGTGCCCTTCTACAGGCAACTGTTGCCCATGTTCAATGCGTTCAAAGTGAAGAACTGTAAGTTTCTATAGAGAGATGGAAGATTTCACTCGGGCATTGTCTAGGTCAAGGAATCTGCAGTTACAAAAAGCTATTCAAATTCCATCTGGCATACCATTCTATGAATTCGACCTACTTGATTTACTTTTTTCTCTGGTTTGCTGCTTGATTTGAACCGGCGACTGTTCGCTTGTTAGTCCGACGCTCAGACACCAATCAGTCGCAGCAAACGCTCTTATATAGGCAAAAATAGTATACTTCCGATTGAGAAAAATGTACATTAAACCAGAGATAAATGGTATATTTTACTGGTAAAGAAACTTTGTACAATCGGAGTATAGATTGAAAATCAGCATAGGCAGAAATTCGATAAATATTATATAAGGTTTCATTCCATTTTCATATTAATAGCTTTTATAATTAGTTTTACATTTCCTTTCAGTAAACTGCGGCGATGAAATTGACTATGCGCAAAAGAACAATTTGAATCTGGGCGATTTGATTGATGAGACGTTGCAGGTCCTGGAGCTGCATGGCGGCGAGGATGCCTTCATCAATATCAAGTACATGGTGCCGACCTACGAGTCCTGCTATTTGAATTGAAGCTGTAGCTGTGGATCAAGCGAAAACCTGGCAGCTGCTTCAATTAGCCATGGCTTATATATTTATGGCCAGTTTCAAAGAAAGCGCTTACATATTTTATGCTTCATATATATGTATATATATATATATATATATATATATATATAACATATCACGAGTATTTATTGAATTTTACATAGATGCGAATGATTAAATTTGTTATTTCGAATTTATCGTGTGTTAAAATTTGTATATAGTTGAGTATATATGTGGAGGGTATATATATATATATAGGTATATCTCTATATAGATCATGAGAGTGCTACAAGCACAAAAGCCAATGCCCCAAGTACATAGGTAATGGGATAGTGGCAGCAAGGGGGCGCAACAGCTCCAAAGAGGCTACAAATAAATAAAATAATAAGATCAAATACAATAGGGAAGCTTTCGCTTTCGCTTTCGCTTTTACTTACAGCTGCTGCGCCGCCAGATTTATTTAGAATTTTGGCGGAGCGTACTCGTTCTTCTTGACATTGTGGGGCGAATAACGATTGTACAGACCCCAGATCGAATTCATTAGCTTGTCATTGTACTTGACCGGCAAATATTCACGCTCTAGAAGAGAGAAGCACAAGAAGGCATGTGAGTCAGTTAAACTGATTCGGAGTGCAGCTGGTCACACTTACGCGCATTGTTATCAGCCTTATCAGCAATATTGGCGGCTCGCAAACGTGAGATGATCATATCGCGCTCCTGGAACTGCTCGCGTATCTTGCAGGCGGCAAAGGCTCCCTGTGGCAAGGCCATGTCCACAACTGTGGTAAAATAGAAAGGAAAAATTGAGACAAATTTACAATTTACAACTTTTTTTTTTCAGTAAACGAATTGAAGTATTTTTCTCGTGCACTTACTGTTGAAATTCAGATTATTTAAGAAGAAGAAAAGCTGTGTCAGCTGCAGGTTGCTTAGTTCGTACAGTCTATAATAGACGTTATTCACGTATTGAGCAATTTTCGAGTTTTTAACGCGCAGCAGCACCATTCAAATTTGGTGGTTAAAGTGTTTTCTTTTTGTTTTCCGAACGCAGTTGATAAATATTTGGTCGAAACACTTTCAAATCGCAATTGAGAAGTTCACAAAATTTAAGCAAATTTGCCAATAAGTATTTATAAAGTCACGATTGCACAATTCTTGTTGTACGGCATTTAAAAATGCCCGGCTTTTGATGGTTTCCACGATCTTTTGCAAAGGTTTTTGAGAGCACACACGTTGTATATTGACACAACACGAAACAGGTTCAAAACTGAACTGAGTCTGTGGCGGGGCTTTGTTGGAAATTTATAGAGACAACGCACACAATGAAACTTATCAACACGATAAGAGAGAGACAGAGATCAGCTTGGACGCCATTTTGTTTTCGAGTACGTGTGTGTGTGTGTGTGTGTGTGTCTCAGTGAGTCTGAGTATGCGCTTGTGTGTGTGTGTGTGAGCGTATGCAGCGTGAACGTGCTGGATTTTTCTTTTTGCTGGATGTAGTTTTTGAATATATGTGCAAGTACTAGATGGATTTGAACCCATTTGATCTGTGTGTAGCCCCCGCACCCGTTCGGGTCGTATGTGTAGCAGCTGGGATGGGATTCGACATTGTTCTGAAACTGATTAAAAACTTTTCTAATCTAATTTGTTTGAAAACTGCGCAATTCGTCGAACAAGTTTTTTGTCAGTCATTCAAATTGTGTTTGGCCTAACAAACAATTATCGCACCAAATCTGGCAGATAAACCAATTGAAACCAATTGAGACTATATCAAATTGTCAGGTGTGCGGGCAAAGTATATTAATGGGACTCTTACTCCAGTTCTGGTTTGCCATGAACACATCTATATGGCAGCACTATCTTTGCGGTTCATGTCCAGTCAACAACTAAGCCGGTTTTTACCGGTTTCCAGCTATACCGATCTTACAGTCTATTCTAGCGAGTGGCTCTTTTTTATACTCGCTCGTAAAGTGAAAGAAGTATATTGGTTTTTTCCATCTTGCTCTAGATGAAATTGGGAATAGTCTAGGTATTAGATTTTGGCGGGACTATCGCATACATCTTTATGTCAGCCCGTCTTAAAACTAGATTAGCGACAAAAATAGCCTACAGTGTTTTGTCCAAACCCACGCCAGGCCCCTAAAAACTTGATAGTCCACATCTTGCACAGTTTGAGGGCTAGAATGGCCAAATTTGAGTTGGGTTGAGAGTTACTGAAGAGCTTCTTTATAGACCAGACAAATAGGAAAATAACTCTTATTAATTTGCAGGGCCGCAGAGTATTGCACAGTCAGATATACCCGAATTTGTAGCTATATTTTCGTTATGTTTTCTATATTTATATAAGTTGCAAATCGTTGAGTATATGCACATATATACCTGCTGATGCAATTACTGACCTTACTAATGTTTATTCTTTGTTTTATTGAAAAGTTGTTTACGACTAGCCTGTAACGTGCATATATGTTGTATTTACGAAAATACAGATTGATTGATCGATCGATGCGTCAAACTATACTAAATTATAAAAATCTTGTGATCGCTTTGTCTGATCCCACTGATTCACAAGATTTTACACTAATATGCGATTAGCAATTCTTTAATTAATTCCTAATTAAAACGACACACTTAAGAGCTATTATGTGACAATCTTATCGATGATTGATTTCTGATTGAGCTGCATAAGGGTTTGTGGCATGACTATAAAAATGCTGTAACCCGATCTCTAATACATCATAATCGATTTGTAATTGATTTCATTGTTCAATGCTGGATCGGCTGTTGCCAGGCTCATAGGCAATGGCAAATCTGTGTAAATGCTATATTTGCAATTTATTGAGAGCATTATAATGATAATTTTATAAAATGTCGTAAATCATAGACATCTGTGACGCTTGATTTGTTTACTATATATGGCGGCATTAATGCATTTCGCCCGGCCTGTAATCAGCAGCAGTCGAAACACACGTTTGCAATAATTTTGTATTTTCTTACCTAAAATTAAACAAAAATAAAAATAAAAGAGCAAAAGAGGTGCCCAAAATACTGACACTGAGTGATTTGTCTGGCCACGAGCGTCCGAAGTCACGTAGTATGATTCGTTTTGCTGATTATAAACCAGCGTGTTTTTTCCATATATAAACAATATAAACAAATACATACTCATAAATAGATTATGTGGACTTTATATTGGGCAAGGCTAGCAGAGTCAAATGAGTACTGAGCCTATCAGATTAATGGCCTTTGACAACACATGTATATATATGCATATATAAACAAATCAAACAAAAACAAACAAAAAATATTAACCTGTTTTTTGTATTTAGATGTCAAGTTCAGACGCACTTTGCGCAAATTTAATTTAATTTTTAAATTTAAATATCTAACGTGTGCCGCTCTTTGCGCGCACTTTCAACACTAGCCCGCATACTTATCTGTTAAGTTCGCCGCAATTCTGTTAAGTGTTTACAGTGCTCGCAGAGGTTATCGAGCTGTTGTTGCCTATCGATTGTTCGTCGCCAAAATTAGCTAACAACAAACGAAAAACACGGGAAGTTGTTAATTAAAAAGGTGACCCAGATACAAAAACACACTTACGGAGGCCGCACTGCGACAGCATGTCGTGGAAAAAGGAGCTGCGCGTTCTCGCCAAGCCCTACTATTGGGTTAATATACTGCTAGCCATATCGTATCTGCTGGCGAAGAAAACAAAGGTGATATGCACGCGCCTTTTCCAGCAGGCCGACCAGGAGGACGTCTGCGATATGGACAGCCGCGAGGTAGAGATATTGTTCTTTCTGCTCATTGTGGTCATGATAAGGTCTCGCAAAACGGGCAGCGTCACCATGATCAACTATCTGACCTCGTCGTTTCTCTACACAAAAGTGGCCAATATGATACTCTGGGCGTACGCAGACTTTCGTTACGGATTGGGCTTTCTGCTGATATGCGTGCTGGTCGGCATGCTGCTGCCGGAGCCCTCGTATCGTGGCCCGGAGCACATCACCTACTTCCGCAATGCCCAGGTCTTCGAGGAGGAACTGGCGCGCGACAAGCGCATCAGTTGGCTGATTTGTTTCTACACCGTTTGGAATCCGAGCTGTGTTAATTTTGCGCCCATCTTCGCTGAGCTGTCGGCGGAATACGATACGGAGCTGCTGAAATTTGGCAAAATCGATATTGGACGCTTTCCGGATGTTGCGCAAAAGTTTCGCATTTCGGACAGCAGCTTCTCGCGCCAGCTGCCCACGGTTATACTGTTCCAGCAGGGCAAGGAAGTGGATCGTCGGCCCTGCGGCGATGCCAAGGGCAAGCTGCAAAAGTTCTTCTTCTCCAGCGACAATGTGCGCGCCACATTTGGACTGAATCAACTGTACAAACAGGCTGTGGAACGGCTGCCGGCTAAACAGGAGCCACTGGAGTCCAAGAAATCGAAATAGCTGCTTGAAATGAACCAAATGTCATCTCATTGTGAATGTCTTGTACGTGCTAGCATCTGTTAATTGTGTAGTTTGTAATTGTTTTTAATTTATTTTGTCATTTTGCACAAAATGTACACCTCGAGGCACGTACAGAAACAACTATGCAAAAGACATAAACGTTGCCATTGCCTAATTTATTACTGCATATTAAATAATTTGTAGCTAAATTCAAGTCATAAATTGTAACTAATAAAATTTGTAAGCTGTTAAAGTGCAGTTCAACTTTACTGACTACTTAAACGTGTCTGTCTTGTGTGTTTCTTGTTAGAGCTTAATTAATTTAAAGTAACATTTCCGTTGTCAATATATACCCCGTTATGCGAGGCTATATACAGGCACTATAGAGCATATTTATTATAATTTAGGCACATACATTTTATACTCAACTATCAACATTATAATTAAAATGTTATTTTAACATAATGCTTATTCCCACGACCGGCTAACAGTGCTGTAGGATATTTTATAGCCAGGCAATGAACTGCAGCGTTGTTGCTGCTTGATTTTCATAGTGTTGCTTAACACGGCTAGTTTGAGCGCTGCCTAACATTGCTTGCTTGGCGCGCTTGCAGCGCCGGTTCTTGTCTTGGCTAAACGTTTGAAATTTATGCTGGCTTAATAATTTTTCATACTTCGTTTTAAATTCAGCCCTTTAAGTAAGGACAAGCTTTACAGAAAATCACTACAAATGTTTGTGGGTCTCATGTGCTGCGTATTTTATGAAGCGCCGAGAGCATAACTAGCAGCCGCATGGTTCATAAAACATGCAGCGACAGGCTCTCCAATGGCTCTGTTGCAGCCAATGTGTTAAACAAAAATATGTAACAATGAAAAGCGAACAACGGTATATAGTGTTTCCGGTGCGTTGGTTTGTCAACTGCAAGGGGGGAGGGGCGGCAGTGCCCAAACAGCCAGACGAAACACGAAATAAACGCAAATCCTTTATATCCATTCAATATGCATATTTACCAACAGGCGAATATAAATGCACGCACACAGGTATAGGCGAATGCACACACACACACACACACACACACCCACACAGAGTGACAAAGGGCAAGAGAAAGTGAGAGAGGGACAGATGGAAAGCGGCTGAGCATCGCTTTTGAGGTTATTATTTGTATTTCTTATTTTATATTCAATGAAACGGCATGGAAATGGCCATTATTCTGCATTGTCTTGCATAATATGATTGTCACACGTGTTTGTGTATGGAAGGGGAGCCCATTTATTTGTATAAAATATGCAATTTTATTAAAAAGAAATGCGCATGGCTTTAAATTAGGTGGATTGTTGGACTGTTGTGCGGGACATGCAATTAAAATTGTTGACGAGTTGCTGCTGCCTTCGATTGCAAAGCAAAAATTCAACACTTGTGACAGCAGCGCCCCCCAACGGCCGAAGGTTGTCAACAGCTTCTCACAGCGCAAATCCAATAAGCAGCTCCTTGACAACAGCAACAACAACAGCAACAAGAACGACAACGTATTGTTGTCGCTATTTCTACCTTCGTATTCCATTTGTACTGCACGCAGCGCTGGTCACATTGAATTGATTTTGAGCGATTTTTCTCTCTCTTTTGAAAAAAGAAAAACTAGAAGCATATGCGCTGGCTTGTGCAGGCACGTTTTACGATTCTTAAGACCGAACCGGTGCTAACTGGAAATCATTATATTATTATACGAATCTTAAAGTAAAAACAATTGCTTAACATATTTTAAGCCCCAATCATTGGATATATCTAACCATAATTGTTAGATGCCAATTTTGGGCAAGGTTCGAATGTAGCCTTCAACTTCTATTTAAAAATATCTGTGGGTTTCGAAATTTTCATTAGAGCAGGCAATTGTAAAAAAATAATTAGACTGTTTTATTATATGACAAAGTAAGCGGGGAAATAAAACCTGGATTTGTGGATGTATATTGCCAGGCTTACCCAAAAAAGCGCATGAAGTGAAAATTATTGTAATGATAGGTTTAGCAGGAGAAATTTGGATTGGGGGTTCAAATCGGAACCGTTCCGGATTCCAGTTTGCAAGTTTTCTTAGAATAAGGTTATTATACGATAAAAATTTTAATTACGATATTATTTTTTTCAATTATTCGTCTTCTCGGTGTTTCGAACCATAAGTCAAATATGCTAGTCAACCCTTTAAGATTACCAATTAAATATAATTAAAATTTAATTAATCATTAAATTATCACGTGTTTACTAATTGGTAATGAGCTAGTTGTTAATAACTGTAATTAAAAGCCAATTAGAGTAGTGTTAGCTATTTATTTCGTTTAAAGTGCATTTGAAATTCGCCAGCCTAAAAAAGGAGAGCATGTGCTATTACTCAAGATTCCCCCAGCTTTCGTGACATTTTTTATTGCATTTTTATGTCAACGGCAGCTGTTGCCGCCTGCCTCCTGCCCCTGCCCCTGCCTCCTGCCTCCTGCCTCCAGCGTCCTGCCTCCGGCCACCCACTTGCCACACGGCGGCGTCTTAATATCCTTGGACTTGGAGCTGAAGCGACGCCTGTTTGTGTATTTCTGTCAATTGCGTACAATTGAATTAAGCTGGAAGTCAATGGCAGGCGGTGCGGTGCTCGCAAGCGAAAACCACAGCGGCCAGCAGCCAGCCGCAGAGCAGGACGTACCAGCCGAGGCGCAGGGTGTCCAGATCGAGGGCCTTAAAGCCGAACGAATTGTCTATGAGATGCACATAGCCCGCCTTCAGGGCATCATTGAAGTCGGAGACGACCCAATGCTGAAAGAGCCCGATGCTCTGTATGCGCATTATGAAGTGCTTCAGCGGCGATTCCAGATGCGAATCCTTGCGCATGGGATAGCCAATAACCGGCGCACCCAGGCAGACCGAGGAAAAGCGATAGATGGGCTTCATGGCGTACTGCTGCTGGAGGGCAAAGAACTCCCAGCGCTCGACGGTGAAGGGATACGAGTAGCTGGTATTAAAGCTGAGCAGAGCGCGCACCTGTTCGCCGGCCTCGGCGCTAACAACCAGACGTGCCACCTGCTCGACGAGATGCGGCGGCACCTGCTGCAGCAGCATGGGCACCTCGTGATGTTTGGTCAAAATGCGCTGCTGCTGTGCGATTAGCTGCTCAAAGGTGTCGACCTGCTCGCCCACCAGGGTGGCCGTCAGAAAGCTGCTCAGCTGATTGCCATACCAGTTGGTCACAAAGAAGCCCAGGACGGACAGCTGCAGTGCCACCAGAAAGTAACGAACGGAGGGCGCATAAATGCGGCCCGGCGTGCTCAGGAACAACAGCTGGCAGATGGCCTCCAGCAGGCTGTGCATGGCCCTCGGGCCACGACGTCCACTCACCGCCGGACTGAGCCAATATAGCGCCAGGGTGATGTACAGCACGGCGAAGAGTAACAGCAGCCAGCTGCTCCAGTGAAATGGACGCAGCAGATACATAAAGCGTGGTATCTCGTTGCGCACGGGCACGATGAGGCAATTCTGGGCTATGTGCAGCGGGTAGCTGAGTATGCCTAGCTTGCGATCGATGCCCACATAGGGATGCATGGAGATCTCCAGTTGTTGTTCGCCAATTAGCCGCGTGATGCGGCTCATGTTGACGCTGCTGCCCAGGGGCAAAGCCTGACCAGCATTGCTCACATGCAGCCGGGCATTGTGTCGGTGCAGGAACTCGGCCAGGATGCGATAGCCAAAGCCGCGTATCAGCTGTGCGCCCGTGCGCGGATCCCGCATCAGAAACACGCGCGGCAAATCATTCTCCGCCGGCGTGGATACCACATAGTTGCGCAAATCATGCGGTAGAGCTGGAAAGAGTGAAGCGACCTCCGACCTCAGTCGGTAATAGCTCAGCCTCGGATACGGAGTGTAGGCATAGACGTGCTGCCGGTGCAGCACCAGGGCATGCATAAACTGCAGACTCCACAGCTTGGTGAATATGTCGCGCAACGCCGGTTCGCCGCGCTGTGCCGCCAGGCACACTACGAGCCGAGTCTGACGCAGCTTTCGCAGGCGCTCGTCCAGATGGCCCCAGATGAGCTCCTCGCTACTGTGGCAGAAGAGCAGGCTCAATGCATCGTTCTTGATGTGATTCCGCAGCGGATTATATGTATCCGGCTGCTCCTGGGTGCCGTCGAACACATAGCTGGCGCAGCTCAGGTTGTTGTGCAGCCAATTGATCAGATGATTCACCCGCCCCTGCTGCACATGGCGACTCAGGAAGATGGGCGTGTTCGTCCAACGCTGTTGCCCAGCGGCTCTCTCCAAAATGCTTTGTACAAAGCTGAAGTTGTGCGGCTCCCACGGCTGCTGCTGGGGCCAAGCGGCGAGCAGCGGCAGCAGCAGCCTCGCTAGTCCCATGGCAGAGTGCTTACTGTGCCCCAGGACCCGGCCCCGGGCACACTTTATAGTGAAGCGCTCCTAATTGATTTAATTGAATTTAATCGTACAGCTAATTGGACGTATCTCCGTTTGAGATGTCAAATTGCGGACAAGTGCCGCATCACAATGGTGTGTCCACTTTGACAGCTATATAACCACATAATCGTCCAACTTATGCAATTATCTGCCTTAATCAAGCTCAGCTAATTATAGACTGCACGCATGCAAATTGGCCAAAAGAGAGAACAGGCTTATCCAAAGCCATTAAGTCTGAAAGTTCTAGGTTATCAAGAAGCTATAGCTAGTAAAGTAGGTGTACTTTTTTTTCAATATACAGATCAGAACGAGAATAAATAAATCTTAGTTTTGGGGTAACCTTTTTTTACACTAAGCGTATAGCCTTGCTATTTGGTATACATACACTGTTGAATGCCATTTTTATTCCTTGAAAATTTTATAAAGATCGAGCAATAAGCACTCAAGTTATCTAAGAATACATTTTTCATAGCTTGATACGTCAGGCTAGAAGAACCACAATCGCCTTGAGTTTAAACGTAAGGTTGTATTAGTTTGTTATTTTGCAGGGTATCTCTAGTCGTGCACTTTTAACTCTTGCTTTTATCCATACATAATCATTTAACTAGATTGTTTTCTGATTTCTTATGTCAAGGGTATGGTATACATAGGAATTTTCAGAATTCGTATTTACTTTCAGTTATTTTTGGAATATTATTTTCTTGTTAGCAAATTTATTTTTAGATCATTTAAATATTATCTTAATAAATAAAACAATTTTATAAATAAAATTCAAATACAACAAATTTTAAAAGAAAAATTAAGAAAAAAGTTTTAAAATATTAATAGTTTCAACCTATTCAGTTGGTCAACTTTAATGTTTATTTTTTTTGGCATATAATTAATAAAAAAGTAAAGCCTTCTCCGTGACAATGCATATTGCAGCATTGCCGTGACCAGGATTCGAACCTGGGTTACCACGGCCACAACGTGGGGTCCTAACCACTAGACGATCACGGCTATTGAAGACACTTGAGTCGATAGCGAAAACTAGCGTATATCAACTGTATATATATGTATATGTATATCAATGCTTGGTCAAGCTTTTGCTACAGTTTGTCTACACTTCTTGCGCTGCAAACAACTTGTTTATGGAGCAAGTACGGCAATAACGGCAACAATAACAAGCAGCAACAGCAGCTGCAGCAATAACAATAACAACAAGAGTATAAAAACGAAAACGAAAAATAAAATCAGCGGTGAAAGGCAGCTGAGAGAGACCCACCCAACCCAACAAGTGGGAAAGACAGACCCAAACAACCAAACAACCAACCGACAGACCAACAGATCGACAACCAATAAACAAGATTTTGGTTTATGAATGAATTTAAATTTCGAGCAGGAGAGATAAAGCGCAAGGGTGAGAAGCAGATAGCGAGTGTAGCGGGAGCTGCGGGCAATGGTGGGGCGGCAGGGCGTGTTGCTTGACTTGGCATTTCAATTCATTTTGCTATCAACAGCATTTTGCGGCTTTCGCTCTGTGCAATTGCAGAACCAACTGCTTTCGAGTGGCGGGCAACTGTGGCGAATTTCCAACTGCGGTGAGGCCCCCCCTGGCTAAGAATAAGTTTAGGAAAAATACAATTTTTGCATAAATTGACAATGAATTATGAATAAAAAGATTATTATATACTTCTAAAGCTATGCATAGATTTGTTTTTTAAAGAAATTGCAAATAGCTTAAGCATTTGTTAGCTTATAAAAATAATTGTTATGAGTTATGATGTGTAATAAATATGTACATATATATGTATATCTGCAAGTTGTCAACAAGGATGATAAGGCCTTGAAATTCCCATTTAAAAATTATAGTTAAACACTTTTAGCTGCTTGTATAACAGTATAAGTATTAAAAAAATGTATTATATATATATGCATTTACATATTTCCCTTATTAATTAATCTCAATAGGCACGAAAAAATGCACTTTGCTAATTGAAATAAATTTAGCACACATTAAAAGTAATTATTTTTACATTGGGGCATAATATAAAAGCATTCAAATTTGTATTTAAGCACCATTAAAAAGATGAAATCAAGGGCTTTCAGTTTATCGTTATACGCTTGGTTTTTTGTGTTTTGTGTACAATTGGATTTGTCCCTTTTTTTTTGAGTAAACAGGCTAAGCACTTAAGTTGACTAGGATATACCCACACCCAAATTTAACAGACAGCTTTGTTATACATTGGAATTTAAGTCTAAATCCAATAAGCTCATGATTTTAAATCGCCTTAAAATATCTGTACACATATAAATGTGTGCAGACTCATGCATTGGACTAATATACCCCACAGCGTTTTAGTGGAATGGGTATACAAAATTAACTGAGCCTTTAATGAGGTGCTGACTTGTATGCGACGGGGCCCTAGGGGCTATTAAATAAGTCATATATGTTTCCACTTAAACATATAATTTGGCCTGTAGTTGTTACACAAATCGAATAAATTCGTGGGCTAGTCCTTATCGCCTTCGTTGCCTGGGGTGATAAGAAAGTACAGTTATGCGCATCGTGCATAAGCCTGATAAGTCGCGTGTAAAATATGAATTATGACAGCTGCTTTGAAATGTGAATTATGCCACATATTGGTTTATGTTTGTAATCAATATGTATATAATTAATGTATTAATGTGGACAACCCCCCCGTTAGGCGAAGATTAAATACCCTACATTTTAATATGAAAGAAAATATGTTAAACAAACAATATAATATGTATAAATAAAATTTAATTTAATTATTCTTAAGGCTTACATTTCAACAAAGATTCCCACTCAAAGAAAATTTCCAGCCTGCTTGGCAATTGCAACGGCAATGCCAGACATTTCCACATAAACAAGTCTCAATTGCCGACAACTTAAATACACTGCATATATCTCGTTGAATCCAGTTTTTGTTTAATTTTTGCATTTAATGATTTTGTAATTACCCATAAGTACAATATTATTTCAATGGCACTTTCTGTTTTTATTTAGCGCCATTTCAAAATGCAACGCTGCTGGGCGTCGCAGGGGTGGGAGAGAGGGGGGGGGGGGGGGGTGGAGTCAAACTGGGCTGGGCTTTTAGTTTTTTTTTTAACACCACTTTGGCGTTACGTGCTGCGAAACCCTTAAAATAAAAAACTGTAAAGTGTTTACATGTAAGCTGAAAAATTACGAACACACATACACATAGATAGAACACACACACATACACAAGCTCACACAGAGACAACATGCCGTACAATTTTTGCACGGATTTATTTCGTTTTTTGCAATTTTTGTGGCCTGCTTTTGAAATATGAAAAAATCCTGCAATTCTTTGTTGCACCTGTGTGTGTATATTTATATATGTGTCTCTGTGTGTGTTTCTGTGTATTTGTGCTATTCGTGTGTGAATATTCGCGCTCCAATAATCACGCAAAGCGTTGGGCTATTTACAAGTATTGACCGTATGACTATAAAGTATGTTAGTTCAGTCCCGTTTTTACAAATTAATTTTTGATATCAAGCATGAAAAAAACTAACACACACATTGCCTTAAACTAACTGGAGGCTTGACTGTATATGATTGTGATTCACACATGCATTTAAAAGAGGTTAAAGGGCAACAAGAAAAAAATGAACTTGATAATTGCTTTACAGTGGTTGAGATAAGCTTAAAATATATGTATTACATTTCTATATATATTTCTAGCGTATATTTTATGAATTGCTTCAGGCTATATTAGTTGATACATAAATATATATATGTAGTTATATACTTACGATGTTTTATTGGCAAAGAGACATATTAATTCACTCATCGAGAGTATTGGCAAAAATATTTTGAGTACATTGCCAATACAACTTGTTAGCCTAATGAAATCAAAGCAGAAAAACCAGCAAGTACATGAAATCATGAGAATCGCATAGTAGGGCAATATTTAAGAATTCAGTGCCTGTCGCAAGTATAAAATATGTATGCATATAAGCATATATGAGCATACTCACACACATACTGACATCCACAAGCACATAGCATATATACGTACGTATTTTTGTTGTATAATTTTTAATGATATTTGACCCTTCCTTTTATATATTAGTCTCGTTATTATAATGACATATTATTATATCAGTATTTTGTCATGCCGTATACAACTATTAGAAGAGGTCACATACCAAATTTTGTGGCCTTAGATATAATAGATCCTGAGATCGGACAGGAAAATATAGTTGGAGTGTTTTTTTTGGTGCTCGCTTCATAAAAGAAACCCCGATATGCGCCCAAATCTAGATAAAAGTTTTGTATATTTTTAAAAAAGAGTATTTAAAATTTTATACAAAGAAAGGTCAGGCTCTGCCCACAGTGCGGTCTTCATATGGAGCCGCCAACAAGTCTGCCAACTCTCAGGGTCACAATTGATCCGTTGATTTTGTTTTATTTGGTTTTTTGCAGTCTCTGACTGTGACTGGGCATTGAGTTCTGCTAATTTGCAGTTGTTTGGCATTAGGAACACGAGCCAGGTGCCCGCCCAGTAACAGCTTGTTGCGGCCTTCTACTATAAATATGACTTGCAGCACGAAAGGGTTAAACAGTTGGTTGGCAAAATGCCCGAGGAGACCATATACTCGCCGTTTAGCTCCGAAATACCGCTCGCGTTCATCTACAATGATACCAAACAGGGTACGGCCCTCTATTGTGGACCCTATCTGAGGTCCATTGAAAGTTTTGCGCAGAAATATCACTATCAACTGCAGCTGGAGCATGTGGAGAATTTGCCAAAGAAGTCGCTGATGCTGCAGCAGATAGCCGAGGGTCATTACAATATGTCCGTGCACGGTGTAAGCATCCGATCCATGTCCGAGGACCCCTTGTCCAATATAACGCAGTACAGTTATCCCATCGAGGTGATGAAGTTCTGCGTGATGGTGCCGCTGGCACCGGAGCTGCCCAAATGGATGTACATGGTCTGGCCGCTGGGTCGCTATGTCTGGACGTCAATCTTCTTGTCCATATTCTATGTGGCCCTGCTGCTGCGCTACATCCATCGACGGGAGACCGCCACGCGCTCCTATACGCGGAATCTGCTGCATGCCCTGGCCATACTCATGTACAGCCCGAACATGAATATGCAGGTGCAGCTTAGTCAGCATCCAGTGCGTATGCTGATCTTCTACATGCTGCTCTACTTGCAGGGCTTTATATTGTCCAATTACCATATCAGTCACATGACCTCCTTCGACATGAAGCCGGTTTTCGTGAGGCCCATTAATACGTGGTCGGATTTAATCGAGTCTCGGGTGCGCATCATTATACCGGATACGCTGCTGGAGGAGCTGCGCGTTTTACCCGTGGTGGATCTTTCATCGCTGGATCCCCAGTTCGAGCCACGCATTTGACAGGACTATCAGCAACTGCTGGTCAGACCGCCGCGCAAGTACGCCTATGTGGTTACACAGGATGCGTGGGAGTTTTTGGATCGCCAGCAGCGCGTCTTGATCCAGCCATACTTTCACATGTCCCAGGTCTGCTTTGGTGGGCTCTTCAATGCGTTTCCGATACAAAAGAATGCACAATTCGCCGACCGCTTGGATCGCTTCCTTATGCATGTGCAGCAGGCGGGCCTGTGGGATTACTGGGAGGAGATGGCCTTTATATATGCGGTACGTGCGCGTTTTGCTCAGGTCTTTCTGGACACCTATCCCGTGGAGCCGCTGAACTTGGAGTTCTTCATCACCGCCTGGATTGTTCTCATCTGTGGCCTGCCCATAAGCGCTGTCGTTTATTGCCTGGAACATTTGTGGATCCGCTGGAGAACAATGCGCATAAACTACAGAATCTATCACGATAAAGAGTTTGAAATTTAATACTAAGTATTTAATCGGTAAAATTACCGAGTATTTATAGGTCGTGCACTTTCATGTCACCAGCAGACTAGCTTAATGGGAATCGCTAAACATACATATACATAAGGGAGTCCCTCTAACAAGGCCTACATTTGTAGCTTTGTTGTTAATTATTATGCTAATTGTTATGGTAATTTATGATATAAATCGGAATAAGTTGAAATCGTTGATATAATTGGTATGTAATCCCTGGAGAACGAGTCTGAGACACTTAAAAGGTTACGATCCCCGACAAAACGTAGACATTACGCATACGCCCCGTGAACGTCTTGAAGAGCTGTCACATGTATACGCCGTACATATTTGTGCTGTGCCTCTTGCAAGGGGCTTGTGCCTGGAATCTGAGGTACATTAGCACAATGCTAGCGGGCTTTAACAAAATGGGTCAGTTTCAGGATTTGGTGTGGTTCGTTAGTCCTCAGCTGAATGGCGAGCATATGGAGAATGTGGACAAATTCATACGCATACTACACGAGGCCTTTGGCCTAACCCAAATAGTTATCTTCAATAACTCAGATATGCGCATGAGTCTCTCGGCTGTGAGGCGCAATCAGGTGAGCGTCGTCTTCACCACCGGCCCCGAGGATCCCATTTTGCAGGTGGCGGATAAGGTGCTGCTGGGCAAACACTATTATCTCTCGGTGTTTATGCTAATGCCCAAGGTGGAAGATATGGAGACGGTGTATGAGTTATGCCGCTTCCTCAACGACAAACAGTTTGAGAACTCTCTCCTGTATTTCGAGTCAGCGGATGGCATCAATCAGCTCTTTGGCACAAATCAGTATCCCGTTGTGCAGTTCGAGAATCGCACAGATCTGATGAGCTTCATGCGGCAACGGGCCAAACAGGTGACCAGCGCCGCGCACGATGTGGGCGGATACCGTTTTGCCACGCCCATGCGTGAGGATGCGCCGCATCTGTTTAGAGTTGGCGATCGCTACGAGGGCAGCACATACCGCATCATCGACACCTTTGTGCAGCATCTGAACGGCAGCTTCCGGGAGTGGCCACTGCCGCCGGATGAGCTTGGCGGGCGTGCGGTCAACATGAAGCAGACCCTGCAGCTGGTGCGTCAGCGGAAGGTTCAGTTCTCTGCCCATGCGTATGCCCTGTTCATGCCGGACGATGAGCTGGAGAAGAGCTATCCACTGCTGGTGGTGCGCTGGTGCCTGATGGTACCGCTCTACAACAGCGTCTCCACCTACTTCTATCCGCTACAGCCCTTCGACTGGACCGTTTGGTTTTTTGTGCTCGGCGCTTTCCTGACGCTCAGCTTGCTGGAGCTGCTTTGGCTATGGTTGGATGCGGCTCATGCGGCAGCTGGACCCACGGCCGCTCTGCTCAACTCCTTTTGCTATATCATCAACATAGCCACTGGGCGGCAGCTGTTGCAGCCGACGTTTTTGCGTCTTCTGCTACTTTGTGCTGTCTTTTTTCATGGCTTCTTTTTGTCGGCCAATTACACATCCACGCTGGGCAGCATTCTGACCGTGAATCTATTCCACGCACAACTAAACACCATGGAGGATTTACTGCGCGCCCAGCTGCCCGTCATGATCATTGACTATGAGCTCGAGTTTCTCTTGCAGCTGCACACGGAGCTGCCGGCGGAGTTCAGGCAGCTGCTGCGACCTGTGGACAGCGGCGTCTTTGCCCGGCACCAGCTTAGCTTTAATAGCTCCTTTGCCTACTTTGTCACTGAGGATAGCTGGCAGTTTTTGGATGAGCAGCAGCGGCATCTGAAGCAGCGCCGGTTCAAGTTCAGCGACATTTGTTTTGGCTCCTATCACCTGGCCTATCCCATGCAGAAGGACTCGTCTCTGTGGCGCGATCTGGAGTACTATACGTTCCGCGTGCATTCCTCGGGACTGCTCTACTACTACGCCCGGCTCAGCTTCGAGTCTGCACTTCATGCGGGCCTTGTGCAGCGCCTGCAGGAGACCAAGGTCTACACATCCGCGGGTCTACAGCATCTGGCCATAGCATTCATATTGCTTTTGGCCATGTCCGCGATTGCAATTATCGTTTTTGCTTTCGAGGTGCTTGCGGCACGCATTTGGCGCCCGAGCACGGACCAGGTGAGGCTTTAATTTGACCATAACCTCAAATTGGGCGCCCAAGCAGGGACGAATTTCAAATATTAATTAACCTCAAAATGAATTTGCCTTCACACTCGCCCGAACAGGGTCAAATTGTGTTATTGATTTGATATTGACCTCAAAATAAAGCCGTTTTTAATTAGTCGTTAAAATAAAAATAAAGTTATTTCAGGCGTAAACTATAAATTGAAAATTGTTTAAACTGAAAATAAATCAAAAATAAATCTGCCCAAAACAAATAAAACAATGACCAAACCCTAACTATAAATAATCTGTTTTGCCCGATCAAGCTTTTTGAATATAATGAGAATCTCATAAGCTTAAAAATGATATATACAAAATTTACCATATAAAAAGATGAGAAATCAAGAGTCTTATCCTAATAAAATTGTTGCATTTATGTTACTTAATATTTAATAATAGAATTCTAGATTTATTTTCTTCTAACGCTTCTGCGCCTTCTTAAGATCCTGCGCAGTCTGTTCCACAGCTTTAGGCAGTATTCTTTGAGCACAAGCTGATGCCACTTCATCTCGAGCACAAAAACGAATCCAGCGAGCACCAGGCCAATGCACCAGGTGCGCATCATGCTGGAAAAGAAACTCATGCTGAGCGGCTGCGGCTGCTCGTGCACAATAATCAGCCGTATGACGCCCATATACAAAGCCTCCCAGAAAGCCTCCCACTTCCAGTGAAGGCCCAGGCCGGATTCCTGGGAGATCAGAATAAAGTTCTGAAACGGCGAGCGTAGATGCGAGTCCAGATGCATGGGAAAGACATGATAGAAGGGACCCGTACAGATCTGCGTCAGCCGAAAGACGGGAACACGCAGATGCTTCTGCAGCATGACAATTGTATCCCAACGATCACTGGACACAAAATAGCCAAAGGTGGCGTTCAGCAGGTCGCGATGCTGCTGAATGAAGTTCGCATCCTCGATATTCACTTGCTTCAGGAAACGGGCCGGAAACTGTTCCAATCGGCTGCTAAGTGCATTGTACTCAAATTCCTGCACCAATATCCTCAGATTGGCATCAATGATGTCCTGCACAGTATTCAGCTGTCGCTGTGGCGGCGCCGAGGTAAAATAGCTGGTCATTTTACTGATATACATATTGGAGGCGACCAATCCCATGATGCTGAGCACCATGTACAAATAGCGCATCCGGCGTGCAGCTGATCGCAGTATAAATATTGGCGGACTGTTTGTCAGGCTGCAGATGCACTGCATCAGGGCGGCGCTCAGATCACGCGGCCGCTGCGGCGTGCATAACCAAATGGCAAAGCTCACGTAGAGCATGGTCAGGATCAACAGCAGCCAGATATTGTCCTGGAGTGCCTCGCGCACATAGAGCTCCTGCAGCGAGTCGTTGCGATAGGGCACCATCAGGCACCAGTCATTGATGCCAATGGGATAGCTGAAGCTCACCGAATAGTTACCCACGAGATCCGTGTAGGAGTGTATCAGCGTCTCGTAGACGCCCTGTGCCACCAGCTCCAAGAGATTGGGCAAATCGAAGCTCTTTATGGTCAGATTGGCGCTAGTGTCCAGCATTGTGGCATTCACAAACTGCAGAAAGCCCTGAAATAGCTTGGCACTAGTGCCGTAGACAGTCTTCTGATCGGCGCCCCGGAAAACACGAGGCATATCATAAAAAATGGGCGTGCTTAGCGGATAGCCCATCATATTGTTGTTGTACTGCCTGTAAAAGTCCCAACTGCGCCACTGTTGGGTTTTGTTCAAAATGCTAAGCTTTGGGTACGGATCCAGTTGGTACACATTGTTGTTGATGGTCAGCAGAAATGTGTTGATGAACTGCTTGGCCCAGGCCCAGTGCAGCACATCCCGGAATATGTTGGAGAACTGGGTGAACGTATCGAAACTATCGTGATATTCGCTGCTGCTCAGATACGGAAAGAGCACAAATATGGTTTTCAGCCAGCGCATGCCCTTCAGTCCCTGCGAGGCCACCTCCATAATGGGATCCGTGTGATGCGTTGTGAAGATCATGACCAGAGACGGCGTGCTTATTAGACTTCTTATCGACGTATTCGAATTGGCCGAGCTATTGTTGTTTCTCACAATTATGCGCGGCACTAGCGGGAACTTTAGCCAGAAGCGATTGAAGAAATCTGTGCCTCCGGCACTGTTCAGATTCAGTTTCTCGGATATGTAAAAGATGAGATTGTGAAAATGGTAGACATCATCGATGTGTTGCACAATGTTGATTACAAATTTATTGTTAATCGCTTGCAAATGTTTTACAATTGTCGCATTCACGGTATCCGCCGCTGTCGTCGGCGTCGGGTCCACCGTTTCCGCTGACGCGGGGCGCAGTATGAGCTCAGCTGCCAGTTTGTCCATTTTCATGGAACGATTGTCGATTCGCAACTGAAAGCTGAAGGCTCGGCCACAGGCCAAGGCGCAATCCGTGCTGCCTTGCGTGTGGTCCACTTGTGGTTGGGCATTGGCCTATGGTCCGAGTGTTGGCTTTGATTATTGCATTCCAACGCCACCAAGTTTGACATTTTGGACATATGCGCAACCAGCAACGAGCATTTTATTGGCTGGCAATCAAATTGTTTACATTGGATGACAGCACCGAAGACGCAGGAGCGAAGCAGGCTTGCAGAGGTTTAATTAAAGGGCGCATATTATGGGAGTTTTTAAAACAGTTCGAGAAATTGATTGCAAAATAAAAAAGCTAAATGTTAAAACAGACGATTGGGTAGCGTAGCGTAGTGGGCTAAGTTTCGGCAAATAAGCAAATTTATGGTTCCCCTGAAAATTGATTTTACTATAATGAAAATATATATTTACACAGTTGATTGAGTAGCGTGTGGGCAAACTGACCACAAAGAGTATATAACGAACGGACAAGGATGAAAACTATTTTGTGTAGCCTTAAAATTCGCAATACTTAAATTTTTATATGCGGCCCCGTTTTGGGCGCCAGCTTGCAGCGCGCCTGTGTAGAAAAGTCCACGCGCTGTTTAGTGTACATGTTTATTGACACATAAAAACCGAAAACCCCTTTTGCTTTTATCTCAAGTGCAAATCAGTCATATTCGCTATTTAGCCGTATTTATGCGGAAAGGTCCATATAATTGGACAAATCGTTGCAGGACATGCGATGGCGGCGCGCCGTATTGGGGCTCAGCGACTTAAAGCGCGCTGGCCCGGGCTTAAAGTGTCATTATTGTACCGTATGGATTTGTGGCCGTTGCAATAGCAATTAAAAATCACGCATACGCAACGTGCAACGCACAGCACGCACAGGCATTTGCGGCGTACATTTTGCGTTGCCTACTTTTCAGCGCGCTGCTTAAATGAGTTAAGGTTGCGGGTCTTAAGTTTCTAAACGTTTGCTGGCCTTGCTGTCGACATCGACTATCCGTTGAAAGGTCGTGCGTTGCATTCTTCATTAGGTTTTAATTGCTGTGAAATTTCATAATTGAGCCAAATGCCAGCAGACATGGCCATAAGCATGGCATAGCTTATCGAGTTACGTCTTGGTTTTTCGGCCAGCAAATGCAATTAGCCACACAGAGCGCACACACACAATACACTCTCACACACACACACACACACACACGCACACACAGCAGATAGATACAAAGTCATCCATATTGTTGCCGGCTGGCAGCTTAAAATATTTATGATTGATGCTGGCTAAAGGTTTTTCGCTTGAGATTGGCCCTAATGCCATATTGACAGTCTTTGCTTTTGTGGCTCGGCTTTTGTTTGCTCGATGATTTGTCAAATATGGCGATTTGATGCTTACGTAATTGTAATGCGCATTACTGTAAGTCAATTCAATTCGCAATTGTTGACACATTTTCACACAAGCACACATCCACACACACATATAAAGTTGGGCTCAAGTATCGTGCGAACTAAAGCAGCTGGCCAACACCTGAAGCTAAACTTGGTGTGGGGCGAGTGGGGGGCAGGACATGTGTTTCAGGAAAAAGGCATCTGCTTAGGCATAAGACAGCACTTCAGCATTTTATTTTTCTTTTTTTTTCTTTTGTTTGTGGTTTTTAATGTGTGCGCCGCAAGCGCTAAAACACATTAAGCCAGCTTGTTGAGCCGCATTCGCCTTTTATATATATTATCTTTCTCTCTTAAATGCTGCTGTGGAGCACAGTGTACGGCGTGTCTAATGCTTGAAAAGTCATGGAATGACAAATAAAATTTTTGAGTTTATAGCCTTGTTAACATACAGTAAAACAAGTTTGTTGCTTGAATTAAAATGCTTTTGTCGAGCGAGAAATGTTAGGCATGGTTCTAAAATATAGAAAATGCCTTTGATTAATTTATTAATTTGTTTTGTTGCACTTAAATACTCATATTACGAACATGTTTTTGGCTACCATTCTATATTTCAAATATTTAATCACATGCTTTAAATAATATACAAAAGCTAATTTGCTTACTAACATCCTTCTTTGCAAAAAGTATAAATTAATTTCTTGTGTAGGGCTTTGATTTTAAGGCTGATTGGGCAGAACTTGAAGCTGTCCCTCAAAAAATCTAATAATCGAATTTTCCACCGAGGAATCTCGGATTTTGCGAAATGTGTGTATTACGTCTCAAATAATTTTTTATGAAGAGCTTGAGAAATGATTTTTAAACCAAATCTTCAACCTCCAAATCTTAAACCTGTATTTCAACCTACAGAAATTAATTTTTCAAAATGTTTTGATCATCAATAACTCAGTGAGGACGAATAATTTTCTATATAGAGACAAATATATACATGTAATATCGTACTCACCTGTAAATTCATACGTACGAGTATTGTACCGTCATCTATCAGTATGCGCGAGACGAACTTTTATATGAATACGTGAGAGGTGCGTAGTAGGGCACTTGCCTTAACATCTGTTCGATTTGCCGTCTCCTCCAATATTAAAGCCGCCGTCTCCTAGATAGTTGAAGCCGCCGCGTCCTTCAGAATTGAAGCCGCCTCCACTACTTGAAGTGAAATCTATGAGACTTACTTGAATTCATGAGAATTGCGTAGAAGGGCATTAATTATGCAAACGTTTCTTTTTCTTAATTTGAGTGCAGCTTGGTCTTGCAAGTAAACATACAAATGTACGCATACATTTATTTGCGTATATATATATATATATATATATTTATATATATAAATTTACAAACACGCATGCATATATATATATGCAAACATACATCAATTCTTACATATATCATATAGTTATAACAACATACAATAATATTCATTAATTAGTACAAACTTGCGCACATACACGAATGTATATTACATACATACAAACATACTTACACACTTAAATCAATAAAAAGACATATGTGTATATGTATAGATATCCACACATGTAAATGCTTACGCACATACAAACATACTCACATGCATGCACGTGTACATACATACATACATACATGCACTTGTACATACATACATACATACATACATACATGTATACATATATACATACATACATACACACACACATACACACACACACACACACACATACATACATACTTACATACATATATACACACACACCCACATTGTACATGCATACATATACACATACAGATATTCACATATATATACAAACATTCAAAACTTACAGACGTACATATATACACACAAATATACACACAGACATACATACGTACGTATTAGATAAAAATAGTTAATAGAAACTAAATTTATTTACGGGGAACGAAATAATTTCGCACGACTTATTTCCGCGCGGAATTATGTTGTTTCAAACGTCATATCTCCGCGTGGAGATATATATTGTTTTTAGGTCTCGTTGGAGTTATGTCGCTTTAAAACGACATAATCTCGCCATGACCTCGCCATGATCTCGCCATGATCTCGCCATAATCTCGCCATGATCTAGCCATGATCTCGCCGGCGGAGTTATGTCATTTTTAAATATCATAATTTCGCCAGAAAAAAAGGAACCTAATTCCGCAGGAAAAATGTAAAGGGTGGAGATATGTCGGCGGAGTTAAGTCGCTAGTTATTATATATATATTCTATCACTATATTTTTTTGTTATATATATTAAGATATAAATAAAATATTTATCGGATATTATATTTAAAAAATCTTTAAAAAAATCTATGTGAAATAAAATAAATGTAATTTTGAGTCTTTCTCCAAACTTTGCTTTTAGAAATAAGTTTCTTTAACGTATATCCAGCTCTGAACACATTTTATAAATCTCACAGCTATAAACTAACTGTTCTAGTATAATATCCACCCAGTCTAACGGACTCAAAATTGAGTTATAAATTTGCCAGCTCTATATACATTTTTTTCTTCTGTATTCTATGTGCTTTATTTTTGTGTTTTTTGTTTGCATGAAGTATCTTATTTCAAATTGTTTTAGTTACACTTTTTTTTGCCAGCTCCAAGTCTAAATGTATCATGTGTAAATGTGTTTCTGCATGTGTGTGCTGTGTGTATGTTGTGTGTGTTTTTGCCATTTCGTAACGGAAGCAAAATGTTGCGAGTGTGCAAAAGTAGTTGAACGAAGGCCCTCGAGTTGTTTCGTTGCCCGTTGCTCATGTCAAGTGCCAGCTGCTGGCCTCCGTGCTGTGTCCTTATGTGCTCATGCCCTCCATCCGATAGCTGGGCTGCACTCTCGACATTTAGCGCCGCCCACACGCTTACCGCCCCCAGAGACCACCGCCCGACCACCCAACTGGCAAACAGGTGTGTTTGACTGGCACCGCAGCATGTGTCGAAACATTGCCAACCGCGGCATGTGTGTGTGTGTGTGTGTGTGTGTGTGTGGCAGCAACTAACTGTTAAGCGAAATTACCGCAATCTCCGCACGTCGAACAATTTTTAATGCTGAAAAATGTATTTTCTAATTTTCTCGCACAAGGGTGTTTTTTCCATTTTTCCCCTGACCAAGTTTATTTTGGCTTTGTCAGTTTTGCGGGCTGTGCGACTGGACAACAGGTGTAACTAATGGGCGTGTATGTATGTGTGTGTGTGTGCCCTCTTAGCACACCTGTAATATTAATGAAAAATAATTATTTTACCATTGAAACTTACTTTTTACCAGCAATCTAATAGCTTTAAGACTTTTTAGCTTCGCATGTGCAACATAATTTTTTGTAAAATTTCTTTTGTTTTTCAATATTATTTTTGAAGCAAATTTTTCTTGCTTGCTTTTTCTCCACCTGGTGGATGCGCATCACTGGCAAATGCAATTTGCACATTAATATCTGAGCGCAGCTAATTTTCAATATGAAACCGACAAACTTGCAGCTTGGAAAGGCTTTGGAAAAAAGGCAATTTCCGCTTTTTTGATGCATTCTTTAATGGGCCCCGTTGAGCTCGGATA